TGGCAGCGGCGGAGATTCCGGCTCTCGCTCGGGCACCGACGTCTGGCGCTGCGGGAAGGAGGGCGGTGGGGGTGGGAGGGTGAGCGTGTGGCGACCGAGTGGGGCTCTGAACTTCCTCAGCGAGGCCTGAGGCGTCTCCACTTAAAGGCATTTTTTCTGGTCTTCCCGACTCCCGCTTTACCCCTGCCTCCCCCCAATATCCAAACTACAGGACAACTTCTCCGTTGAAAAAAACACCCCCGGCGTGAGAGGCCATCCTGGTGATGCTAACAGTGCCTTCCAGCGGCCTGTGTTTTACTCTGGATATAGCTGATTCAAGATGTGGCTCACGGTGTGCCCTCTTCCAGGCAAAGGATACCCCTTATTTCAGCTTGTCCACAAATCTCTTTACCCCCTCCTGAGAGGAGACCACCAGCTGCATTCTTACATATAAAGTCCAAAGGGTTATACAAAGCTGTCATCCTCTAGTCTACAGTATCCTTTCCCTCCACCTGCTGGTGGTGGTAGTGGGGGATGGGGTGGGCTAGGGAATGGCACAATCACGTTTGATTATTTAAAAAAGAAAAAAAAAAATCATTGTCTTAGATACAGCTGCTCCCCAGATTGTCTACATGGGGCGTATGGTTTAAATACATGCATTCACACACGCATACCCACACACCCCACTGAGATTTTTGATAGAAGACTTCTTCCCTTCAGCTTTAATAGTTTAGATAAATAGATTTATTTTAATACTTCCCTTCTGCATCTTAATCACGAGTTTAGCTTTTAGGGAAAGTGGTCAAGCAGTATTTTTTATGTTGTTCCTCGGTATGTTTTCGTAATGAAATCTTCAACTTCCCATGACATTTCTGAACCTGAGCGTTTGCTTGACTGAAATATTTTTTGGGCTTTTTACAAAGCTGTTAATATTATCTTTAAAGTAGTTTATGCGTTTTAGTGGGTTTCATAATTTGAGGGAGTACTAAGTGTCCAGGGCTGTTAATTCTGTGGTTCTTTTAAGGTTAACATATTACCGTTGTGATCCCTTTTTTAATGCAAAGATGTCACATCTTTATTGAGATAATTCGCATGCTATAAAAATGAGCTTCTTAAATAACAATGATTTTTCAGTAAATTTACTTGTGGTGAAAATGTTTTTTACTAATATGAATACTTAGAATGAGAAAAAAATCACAAATGATAAAACTTAAAAACTGATAAGTACCACAAAATTACAGAATCCAGAAAAAGAGCAATTAGGTGCTTGACAGATCCCTGTAACCCTTTTTTCCTCTACTTTTCTGGCTTCATTTTTCTAGCAGCTTCATTGAGATGTAATTCACATGGCATACAATTCACCCACTTAAAGTGGCTTTTAGTGTATTCGCAGTTTTGCAGCCATCACCACAATCAATCTTAGAACATTTTCACCACACCAAAAAGAAACCTGTACTCATTAACAGTCACTCTCCAATTCCCAACTACCCCAGCCCCAGGCAACCAGTTTTTTGTCGTCTTAGATTTGCCTATCCTGGACATTCCATATAAATGGAATTGTACAATTTGTGCTCTTTTGTAACTGACTTCTTTCACATAGTGTAATGTTTTCAAGGTTTATCCATGTCGTAACAAGAATGTATCAGTGTTTCATTTCTCCTTATGACCTAATGATCCTCCAGCTCATGGATATACCACATTTTATTTATCCATTCATCAGTTAATGAACATTTTCATTGTTTCCACTTTTTTAGCTATTTTACATAATACTGCTAAGAACACGTTTGTGTGGACGTATGTTTTATTTCTCTTGGCTATATGCCTAGGAATAGAATTGCTAGATCATATGGAAACTGACGTTCAACCTTTGGTGGAATTGTCAGACTTTCTGAAGTTATCCTTATTTTTTAAATTGATGTTTCGTCCTACCTCATATCTTTTAGCACTTTAGTCAAAATCAGATTAAGTGCTGAGGCTGTATTAGAAGAAGATTGTGATGTGTGACTTTAAAAAAACAAGTATACATTGACATTAACGAGGGTGTTTGTTGGTTTGTTTGTTTAGAAATTCATAGTGCCTTGTGGTTGTCCTCTGGTGACTTTAATATCCTTTTGCATACATTAGGGGTAAGAATATTTTCACTTTTCAACCTAAGGAAATAACATGACTCTAATGGAAAGTCATACTTTGTCCACACTGTGGCTTACTGAAAATCTCATATACTTGTAATGAGATAGAAACATTCTTTTTTATGTTTAGAGAACACTACGGTGGTCTATGTTGTGTATTTGTTACGTACATATGTGCTGCATCTCTCTAAACACTTATCACCCTTTAGATATGGTTACTACATTGCATTACATAATGTATGTAGAATACAGCAAATTCTAAGAAAATAATTGCTTTTTGACTGGGATCTTGTGATGGCATCTATTTCATGGGAAGTCTTTGGAAAGAATTATGGGCCAGTGCTGTCCAGTGAATTTAACTTAATCCAGTACATCCAAAATACCATTGCAACATCTAATTTGTGTAAAATAATTGAGACGTTTCATATTATTCCTTTCATACATTCAAAATCCAGTTTGTATTTTACAGTTATGGCATACCTCCAGTTGGACTAGCTGCATTTCAAGTGCTTGATAGCCACATGTGGCTAGTGGCTACCTTACTGGAACAGCCCATGTACGGAGTATAGCATTTAGGGAGAGGTAATTGTAGCATATTTTGATCTAACAGTTTATTTGATTAGAAATGATGAAGAGTACAAAGTCCTAGAGTTTAGTTTAATTTGATCTCTAACTTTGTGTATGACCTTGGGGGAAATCGCTTAGTCTTATGGTTCTTTCATCTGTAAAACTAGAGGTACTTGACATCTGCTTCATGAGTGTTGTGAAGATTAATAGGTAATGTTAGGAAGATGCCTGGCAATTCTCTGAGCGTTTTATCACCTTCAGCTTTTCTGTTTGGGGGGAGGGAAGGGATTTAATAGGATTCAGTATAATTGATTCTCTTACTCCCTTATTTTCAGTGGCTGTTTTTTCTCTCTGCTTGTATAACTTGTTACATTGAACAAAATAGAAAAAGTTTTTAATACAGAGACATGTAGTTGCTCATTGAAGGGCAGTTTAGACACATCACATTAGTGATCCTTTTAAAGTTTTAATTTCTGAGTGTTGGAGTTGAAAGTTCATAGATTTCAATCTGATATTTGTTCCTACCATTCTGGCTCCTCTAAAATGTGGTCATGTTAAGTTTCTTGAAAGACAAAAAGCATCAGAGAAGGCATATGGGGTTGAGTACCCATTTAAAATAATTTTCAGGAACTATCAGATGATATCCACCATGGCATGGCTGCTTCTTACAGTGTGGTTGAAGATCCCCAGTCTTAGTTTGAGAATAGTAACCATAGAAAAGAGGGTATGCAGTGCAACACAGGAAATGGGTAGTGACCAAACTTGAAATAAAAAATTTGTCAGGATAAAGTAAATTAAGCTCATATAGTTCATGTTTTTTAAAGTAGAGGGGAATTTTCTGGTAGATTTCCTAATAAACCTGCATACTTTTTATGAAAGTTCTGAGTGTCTGGGTTCAAATAGAGCATAAAATATAACTAGATCTTTTAAAAACACAACTTTAAGAAAACAACTTACCCTAAATATAAAAGAATATTAAAATGCTACATAATTAGAAACTTGTGATTATCCACACAAACACAAAATATGAAGTCAGCTTGAACTTTTTTAAAAAAGGTACTTGATTGGCAAGAGTTTAATAAATTGATCAGCTCTTTTGTTGTTTTGAAAGAGCCTTGGTGATTTGTTAAAGTGTACAGAGTGAAAAGCATTGTTAAGGTATTAAGTCTTGTTAACTTTTAGAGACTGATCTCTCTCACCACAAATCTTGGAACATATTTACTATACTTAAAATAACTACTGTCTAATTTTTCACATAATAGTCCAAGCATGTGACAGTATGAAATATCTGATAGAAATATAGTTAGGAATTAAATGATTGTTTTGGTGCTTCCTGCCAACTTTGCTGGTTTACAAGGTAGCCAGTTTGAGAATTGCTTCATTGATAGTTTTCTTGGAGATACCAAGATGCCCTTATATTTCATAGTCACTAAGTATGTCAAATGAATATGCAAGATTGGGAAGAATTGTAGGAGTGATTTAGATTTTAAAGAGTGAAGCTATTTTAGAAAAAAAAATGCATAGGTAGTTTTTAAACATTGATTTCTAATACCTGATAGTGGTTGTGGGTCCTTAAGATATTTTTAAATG